TTATAAATTGAGTGTTTCCTAGCTCCAGTTATAATGAGGGTGACACTGCAAGGTAGCAGTAGAAGCCTAAAAAAGCTTGCAAAATGGCATGTATAAGGAGGAAGGTAATATGAAATGAGATGCTGAAGATGTGAATAATCATTAGAAATAATAACTACTTTTGAGATGTCAAGCAGATCTGAAAGTCTCTGCAGTTCGTCAAAATTAGCATGTTATCTAGAGATGCAGTGTCTTAAAGGTGACCATCCTAATACCATCAGAAACTTTTGTTTGTTTGTTGGGTGGAGTCTTCTTCTGTTTTTGTTTTCCCCTCTTCATTGATGGTCCGGTTAACAGGAAATTAGAGGGAAGCTTTGTGGAATATTGTCATTATTTGATTCTGGTTGTCATTCATATTAGTAGCCATAATGTGTGATAAAAAGGTGATTATAGTGAAATTCAGATTTACAGATGAGGGGAAATGATGCTGGTTTCACTGGAGAAGGCTTTGTAACTTTGTTTCAGATCTGTGTTCTATCGCTCATACAAAGAGCAGGAGTCTAAAAAAGGGTATGACCAAGAGGAAGTTTTTGAAAAGCCTACACGCGAAACTTGCCAAGGTAAGATACAAGAGTGTGCAAAGACTTGAGTTTTTAAATTCAGTTTTTGTGGGCAAGGCTGTTAATGTTGTTGAACTGATGCAGTCTTCATTTTGGGGCATATAAGACAGCAGAGAAGTCTGTATTAATTGTTATCAATACACCAGTTGAGATATTTGTGTAAAATTAGATCTTTTTGCAGTTGTCTGAAGTTGCAAGCAGACTTGTTGAATTTCTACAGAACAACAGAGTCAATATGTTGAAAAATTTGGGAGTCTACTTTCTGTTTTTTTCTTTTTTTTTTGCTCCGAGGTATGAGACACGCAATCTATGACAAACTTGATGATGATGGTTTGATAGCACCTGGGGTACGTGTGTCTGGGGATGATGTCATCATTGGCAAAACAGTAACGCTGCCAGAGAACGAAGATGAACTGGAAAGCACAAACAGACGCTTCACAAAGAGAGACTGCAGCACTTTCCTGCGAACTAGTGAGACTGGCATTGTAGATCAGGTCATGGTGACCCTTAATCAGGAAGGATACAAGTTCTGCAAGATTCGGGTGAGCAATAATATGTGTGCTTTCTGCTTTCAGTAGTCTCTGCTGTGTATTTAACTTACCAGTTGAATGTTTCCCTCTGGCTTACAGGTGCGCTCTGTAAGAATTCCACAAATTGGAGATAAATTTGCTAGCAGGCATGGTCAGAAGGGAACCTGTGGTATCCAGTACAGGCAAGAGGTAGTAACTTTTTTTTCCTTCTTAACATTTTGCCAGCGCCATTCTTAGCATTTGAACTGCTTTAAGTGAATTGTCTGTGGAATACCTATTCACGTGCAATGTGTTGACTTAATTTTAGCTAAAATATTTTTAGAAGGGGACACAGCTCCTTCTTACATGATACTTAAATGCCTTTGAAACACTTTAAAAGATTTAATTTGGATCCAGGCACCTCCTTTTCCTAAAAATTATATTCTGGGAAGAATTGAGTGTCTGTTTCCCTGCTCTAGGATATGCCCTTCACCTGTGAAGGCATCACACCTGATATCATTATCAACCCCCATGCCATCCCTTCCCGTATGACCATTGGTCACTTGATTGAGTGTCTTCAGGGGAAGGTAAGAAAAAAATCTTCTGTACTGAATGTCTGAGCAATATGAATTAAAATTTGGGGGAGGGGCTTTTGTTTGTTTGGGGTGTTTTTTTTGTAAAGATAAGTACTGCCTAGTAGGTGTTACTCAACTGAAAAATAAAGATTATTCTGCAGTTACTTGATAGCAAAAGCAGGTTTCTTGGGGAAGACCTACAGTCCTGTAAATTTTGCCCAGCAAGTCAGACACCACAGTGTGCTCTCTCATCTGTTACTTTTGTTCAGACATTTCCCTGACCTACCAAAAGAAGTAGCAAATTTGTTGATACTGGGTATTTTTTGTGTAGCTGATAAACAAAGCAAGATAGGGTACTATGATGGGCACAGAATCTGAGATTCAAGCATTAAGTGTTGAACTGTTTGAAACAGCTTAATGTAGTGTAACCAGTCCTTCAGAAACATGACAGACTTTTGCAAATCCCTTCTCTGTAGGTGTCTGCAAACAAGGGAGAAATTGGTGATGCTACACCTTTTAATGACGCTGTCAATGTGCAGAAGATTTCCAATCTTTTATCAGATTATGGCTATCATCTAAGAGGAAATGAGGTATAACCAAATTATCAGTTCATTGTAATCTTTTTAATACACATCTGGTGGATAGTAAGCCTTATGATTCAGTGACTGCATTGACTTCTTCAGGTCCTTTACAATGGCTTCACTGGTCGAAAAATCACATCACAGATCTTTATTGGTCCTACGTATTACCAGCGATTGAAGCACATGGTAGATGACAAAATCCATTCTCGTGCAAGAGGGCCCATCCAGATACTTAACAGGCAGCCCATGGAAGGTAGATCTCGGTAAGGATGCGTGTTAGTTTCTATATGGTGTTTACTATTTTACTATTAGTTTACTATTTTTACTACTAGTTGCCTCAGCTTTGCAGCTAGAACTTCATTCGCTCACCCCAATTAGCCACCCATTTTTCATGTGTTTGGCTTAAGATCAAGTGTTGGGTGCAGCGTCAAGGCTTTGGTAGCAGGAGGTGGCCTCTCCGGGAAAGGACCAGGGGTTGCTCTGTGCTGGCCACAGCCACTTTCAGCTGGCTCTGACCAGCCAAAGCCTGTCAGCGGTGCTGGTGGCACCTCTGTGGGAATGTATTTAAGAAAGGGTAAAAAATGCTGTGCAGCACCTGTGAGAGAGAGAAGGGAAAAGATGCGAAAGGAACTGCCCTGCAGCTCATGGAAAACCCACACTGGAGCAGACTCCTGGCAGGAGGTATGATCTGTGGGGGATCCATGCTGCACCAATCTGTTCTTGAAAGATAGTATCCCATGGGACAGGCCTGTGCTGGAACAATGTGTGAAAGACTATCCCACGGGAGGGACCATATGCTGTGGAAGGGAAAAAGTGTGAGGAGGAAGGAGCAGTTGAGAGGAACTGTTATGTACTGACTGCAACCCCCATTCTCCCTGTGACCATGGGGAGGGGAGGAAGGAGTTTGGAATGAAGAAGTAAAGTTGAGCCTGGGAAGAAGATTGGGGAGATGAATTTTTTAATTTTGTCTTTGCTTCTCATCATCTTACTCCATTCTTAATGGGCAGTGAATCAATTTTCCCCATGCTGAGTCTGTTTTGCCTGTGACAGTAGTTGATAAGCAATATCCCTGGGTTTATCTCCACTCATGAGTTTTTCCATCTTATTCTCTCCCCATGTCCTCTCGACCTGGTGGGGGAGTCAGAGAGATGCTTGGTGGGTATCTGGCAGACAGCCAAAGTTAAACCCACCACAGATAAGTAGAGGATGACTTAACTGCATACTTCATTTAGCTGTGTGGTTGTGCTGTGGCTGTCAGACACCTGTCATAGAAATGCTCAGCAGCAGTTAAAAATTACTGTGTTCGCATTCTCCGTAACAGTTTATTCTGAGGTGTTAGAGAAAAATTAATGCACAGCTTTCCTCCAGCCTTGCAATACTGCTGTTGTGTTTCTGGTAAGATACTTGTTCTGCCAACAAAACTGATCATTTTGCCAATGAACAGAAAACTTAAGTGGGGTGTTTTGTTTTCCTCTTTTCAGTGATGGTGGCCTTCGCTTTGGAGAAATGGAACGGGATTGCCAGATTGCTCACGGAGCGGCCCAGTTCTTGAGAGAAAGATTGTTTGAAGCTTCAGACCCATACCAGGTGCATGTGTGTAACCTCTGTGGAATCATGGCGATTGCAAACACGAGGACTCACACCTATGAGTGCCGCGGCTGCCGCAATAAAACTCAGGTACGTGTGGTTTTCATCAGCCACTGTTTCTCTCTGTGGGCAAGAGGAAATGCCACTCCAGTGAACAGGAGGATAGGGAAGTAAATATTTAAAGAAGCACCAGAACAATTGCTATTTTAGTTTCATAACTGTTTTAAGTGTTTACAGTGACCTAGTTAATTTGGATGCTTCCTTATTAACTTTAGAGTGTTGGCTTGGCAGGAAATGCTGCTCAAGTATTGTACAGTGCAGAGTTTTCAGAGACTTTAAACGCTTGAGAGCTTATTTTTAGAAGTAAAACAGGAATTTAACAGCCATCGCCCTTGTGACTGTCCCATGAAGATATTTATGCTTGCAGAGCTGGGTCCCCATGGGAGGCCTTTTGTGTTGCACTTTGGTGTGTTTTTTTTTTATAATTAATAAAAGCCCTGCAGTGTGTGCTTCGTTACAGCACCATGTCAAGGAAGGGTGGCGGCAGAGATAAAAAGAGTTGCCTTGAACAGGCTTGTTGTTGTGCCAGGGACTGACTGCTGCCCCCACAGCAGTGGCACTGGAGTTACCAATCAGTGTGTGCTGGAAATCTTAACTGCACCTCAGGCACACTTGGCTGTGCACGTGTTCCCTTGTTAAATGGCTCTTGTTTAGGATCAGATCCCTTGGCTGAAGGTTTTATGTTAAAAATGTGTTCTGAATAGCTGCGGTCGTAACCTCTACAGACAGTCTCAGCTTCCCCTCTTGCTTTGGTACCGTCTGTGAGCAATTCTTGTTAAATGCTTTCATGCATAACTTCAGACTTGCTTTGGAGCCAAAAACTTGACGAGTTATTTGTTTAGGGGATGGTAGAAGTTGATGCTTTAGGAGTGCTTATCACAAGACTTTCGAAATCTCTTTCCAGATATCTTTGGTTCGAATGCCCTACGCCTGCAAACTCCTCTTCCAAGAACTGATGTCTATGAGTATTGCACCTCGTATGATGAGTGTTTAGCCTTTAAAAGGGCTTTCTTTTTTTAATTACGAGACTGAAGTTCTCGGGTTTTGTTTAATTTTGTGTACGTTGCATTCAAAATACAGTTTTACTCATCTGCCCTGTGCTGTTCAAAAGTATGTTTATTTCCTGTAAATAGAATTAAAATTTGTAATCAAACTTGTGAATCTCTTTATTTGTGCATCTGTGAAAGAAGTGTGCAAGCAAATTGGGAGTCAAAGAACAAGGGAGTTAAGAGGGAATGATTAGTCAGCTAGAAAAAGCCAGAGCTTGCAGCTTTCCAAAATACTAATTTAAAACTGTGCGTAAGTGAAAGTCCTCACATCACAGCTCTGCACCATCATCTGTGGAAAAACAAAAACATGTTACACTCTGTACTGTTCCAAGAGGGAATATTGCAACTTTGGCAGTAGCTTTCTGATCTTTTAGCTGAGGGCGAGACCTGATCCCTTCTTCCTTCCTTCTTTCCTTCCCTCCCTGCTGCAGGGGGATGATAATAAATGCATTTTTCTGTGCTGAGATCACCTGGACATGGGACACAGACTCTCAGTGTGTAGCTATGACGTCTGACAGTCTGTTCCATTAATCTTATCAATTTCCTTCAAGCTGGCAGCCTACACTTACTTATCACCTGGCTCCAGCGTGCTGACTAGAGAGCTTTTCTACAGCTGAAAAGAAGCAGCTGTAGCACATGAGGGTTGTGTGTAAGAAATAAACTATGAGGCAATGTACATGGTACTGCAGCCTCACCGTAGTTACTGTGAGAGGAGGAGTGAACGTTTTCTGTTCTGGGGTATAAGCGTGCTGTTTGTGGCACAACTCAGTAAAACTCAGTTTCATTCACATCCATAACTAAGGTGCTTGAAAAGGGATTAGAGACTAGAAAAACATTAGCAGAGTTCTTCTGCATGATATTTGGATTCCTTTTAAGCTCTTACTTCAATGCCAAGTGCTGTTAATACTCTCTTAAGGGCAGTATTTCAGCTGTTCACAGACACAAGGATACAGAAAGTCAAGACTGTATAATTTGGATAAAGCTGCCGAGATTAAAACTAAGGATTATTTCCAAAAGTGAATTTGGGCAGCACAGTATTCCTTACATGGATGCTTGGTTCCCAGTGCCTCTGCTTCTAGCACATTTACAGTTACTGTCCCAGTTACCCAGATTTGTTCCTAAGCATATGTGCATGTGATAGTGATCCATCCTCTCTGCAGCTGGAATGAGAGTGGTTGGTTTGCCATTAGCTTTGCACACAGCCTGGCAAAGAGGACCTGCTGTGGCATATCTGTACGCTCCAAGGTTTGACACTCCAGAATGCAGAGACTATGGCAGGTGCTGGGGTGTTTCCAGGATGGTGGAGGTACAGGGACTTGGAAGGAATTTAAGTGCTTGAAGTTCCCTGTCTGCTTTGGGGCCTGTTGTGCCAATATTGCTTCCAGGAGAAATGGGCGGGTTTGGAAGTGTCTAAAGAACAGAGATGATATAAATTTAGGGCTGGAAAATCACTTAAAGTGGCCCTGCAAGAAACCCAGAAGGTATTTTTTAATTTTAATTTGGTATCTTTAATCTCCAGTACTTTACAGCACTTGGCAGTGTTCTTTCCCTTGAGAGCTTTAGCAGCTGAGATTTGCTGGGAATGTTTTGCCGAACACAAAAAACTGTGTGTTAAAACTGGTATTTTTAGTGGGGGGGTGTTTTTTGGGTTAGTTTGTTTGGGTTTTTTAGAAAGCATTAAACAGAGGTAGTCCTTTTGTATCAAGTAACAGTACAACAAGTTGGGGGAGAGAGCTGCTGAGTGTTCAGCCACACTTACCAACCTTTGGTCAGAGCAATTTCATGCAGAGTTTCCACAACGTGGATTTTTGCAGAAGCTGTTGCCTCTCCTTTGGCGTTTGACGCATGGCACTCATATTCCCCAGCATCTTCTTTGCTCAGAGGGGATATCTAGGGGGAAGAAACACAGCCCCGGCCCCCCAGTGAGCATCCCGTGCATGGGTAGAGGTGATTTTGTTTTAAGGCATCTTATATAACTTGCTAGTTGCTTGAGACGTGATGAGATGAACAGAGTGCCTCTAGGGGTTCACCCTGAGCGACCCTGCTGACTGCATGCATTCTGTCAGCTCTGAACAGTCTGGTTCAGATTGTGGTGGGTCTCCTCAGTGGGGTTTGGGACAAGCACCCACTCCTGTGGGTGAGCCTAGCTTTCTTCTCTGCTTCACAGAGGGCAGATCTGTAAGGGCACCCCAGCTGTGGGTGGGTTTGAGGGATGCCTTACCCTCTGTACTGGTTCCTTCCTAGGCGTGGAAAGGGTCTCTTTCCCACTAATGGCAGCAGGAAAGTAATGAGAACTTTTATTTCAGTCAGTCCTTTTCTGGTCACAAAATGCACCCTTCTGCTGCATGCTGGACAGAGATAGGATGCATGCAACAGGTAGGACTGGAGCAAGCAGCCACCTTTACCCTTCACCCCTAATTCACACAAGGTGGTTTTCCTCCAATTGCCCTATGTGTTGCCATTTGCCTTCTGTACTGTTGTTTGTTCATGTTTGCGAACTGCCCTGTACTGTTTGTGCAGCTCTTTGCGTACACAAAATACTTACGAGCACCCAGCCCGTCACTTCGTGTTTCTCAGGGCCCCCTCGGGTCTGGATAGCCAAGTTCTCCCGGTCTCCAGGCAGGAGCTCCATCCTCTGGACACCATACTGTCCTCGAATTATCTAAACAGAAGGGCAGAAACGGGTAAGAATTGGGGGCTTATCTATGCTGGAACTGCTAGAGCCCACACACAGACAAGATCCATGCTAGTTTTACATGAATGTGTTTTTCCTAGTGTCAGCATTTCACCTTATTGTCCACATGGTACTGCCCCAGTGCCTCAGCATCTGCACTGAGGCTGTGTTCCCCTGGCCTCAGCAGGAACACAGAGTGGCACAGTTTTCTGACGTGGATGGTGCTGAGCAGTGGGGCGTGCAAACATACCCTGCACTGACTGCACTGACTTGGCCTCACAGAACTCATGTGCGTGTTCCCAAGGGTGTGTTTAGCCCGTCAGTGCAGCAGCCTGCAGCTGCTGGCAGCCGTACATCAATCCAGTTCAGCAGGCTGGAGCAGCTGCCCTCTGGCTTGCGACTGGAAGACCACCAGGAGCTGACTGTTGTCCTTGTTTGGAGAGACTCCCCCATAACTTCCTGACGATCAGGCTTTTTAACGTGGCAGCAGCAGAGAACTGAGTGTCCGCCTGCATGACCTATCCTCTTCCCAGCAGACCAGCAACAGCCCTGCATGTTTCTGCTGCAGCAAACCAGGCTGTCCCCACTGGTGGGCACAGCATCGAGGGGAAAAGAGCACTGCAGTCACTCGCCAGGGCTGCGTATCCAAGCCCCGAGCACAGCCTGGGTGGTACTCAACCCTTGTTATCACCGTGTCCAGCAGTCTCTCGGCCATGAGGTAGAGGCACAAAAAGCAGAGTAGCATTGACAGTCAGTGTAAACTCAGCATCTGCTCATAAACAAGCAGAAAACGCTGCCTGAGTCAGCATGCCCACGTTGCTCACCCCAGGGTCTGCACTGGAACCCCTATGAATAAAGCTTATTGTCTTAGGGAAAATTTTGGGCCAGTCTAGCTTTTTTAGCCCGCAGCAGCCTCAAGCTAGTATTGTTTTCCGCTTGATTTTAAGGCCCTTCACAAGCGTCCACAAACCTGTGGCACTTAAGGAGGCCACAGGGGCCGTGCAGTGGCTCTCGGCCCTACGGCTACGATCCTCTCTGCTCAACGCTGGCCCCTGTCCAAAGGCAGATGTTACCCGTGCTGCCAAGATCAACACGCTGCTGGCTACTGGAGACAACTGCCCCATGTGGTTCCTGTTCCCGACGATGTGGGCGATGTCTAGCCACCTCAGTCACTGCTGCCAGCTGGGTGATGGCAGGTCAAGGGACATTCCCCGCGTGCTCCAAGTATCAGGCGCTACCAAGAGAAACATGTTCTGCCTCGGGATCAACAAGAGTTTAGAAAAGGCAATGACTAAAGCCTAAGCGAAACCAAATGTTTGGGGGTGGACAGGACTGCACAGATGGGAGAACTCATCAAAGAGGTGTGTTCCTACGCAGGGATCTGCTACGGTCCTTATGCTTACCATGCAGTTTCAGCTGCCTCAGATTTGCTTTGCTCTCTGAGCTCCTAGCAGGGCCCTTACCTTGTTCCAGATGAGGACAGGGGTTGGGATGCCAATGACTTCACAGCTCAGGTAGATCTGTGCTCCTGTCACATTCCAGATGTCCTTAGGAGGAGTCACGATGGAGGGTCCTGCAAAAAGGGAGAAATGCTTTTAAGCCTGGGGTGACTACAAGCTGTTTCCTTGCTGAGCCTTTTAAGTGGGGCCAATCACACCTGATGGGTTTTGAGGACAAGGTGAAGGGGATCCTTGCTTGGAGCAAAGCTGGCAGGACTGATCCCACATCAAAGCACTTCCCTCCCCAAAGCAACACATGCATCCAGCCTTAAGCTGTTCAGACTGAAACCAGACAGAAACTCAAGTGTTGAACAGTTCAGATCAGTCCATCTACTTGCAAGACTGAGGTTAGAGGTAAGATAGTGTTTGTATTCTGTTATCTCAGGGGCTGAGGAGGCCTGTACAAACTGGCCTGGGTGTGCTTACCATGCAGTCACCAAGTCAGCTGGCAGGGAGGAAAGGACCCCCAGGAGACAGGGTGCATCCTGTCACTCTCTCATGCCATAGAGGCCTTGGCCAACTTGGCAGCATCCTTCTCCTCAGCATGATTTCAATCCCATGGCAGCTGGCTAGCAGACTTCAATGTTACGCTGCTCCTCTTTTACCTGCGTGCAATATTCAGCCAAAGGAGGCTGGCTGGAGCATGGCAGAGCTCTCCCTGGCAGGGATCTGGGAAGGGATGAGGTAAATGCAGAGCTCCTTTTTCCCCGAGAGCTCCAATTCCTGGTTAAATAGAGAATTCCTTCCAAAGCAAGATGAGAACAGAATTGTTTTGCAGATCTGGCTGGAGATGTTTACCCCTCAGGCTGAGAAATGTTGGAGATGTAACCCATATCCCAGAAAGGGAAGAATGGCCTTTTTTATTCCAATCCCTCTTTAGTGAGGCTGTTTTACAAAATGCAGCTATTAATTCCCCATAATAGGAAGTGCAGACCAAAGGAGCACATAGTGTTTATTTCCAGTTATTGAGAGCTTTAAGAACACAACAAACAGCTTTCCCCCTTCTGCTCTGAAGATGCAGGCAGTAACAGGAAACTAAAGCTCCCATTACACTGCATCAGGAGAAGGCATTTCCTATGTGCCTGACTGAAGCCCTTGGGTATGCTGGCTCACAGACCACGGTTTATTCTCAGCCCCATAAAAAAGGGGCAGATTTGGGTCCTGATGCTCCTTATGGGGTCCTGAACATGCACTGATTTCAGCCCTGCATGCGCACTCACCCCTGCAGCCCTGTCACAGGCAGTGGGGATCAGGTTTCCAGGTGCATCCCACCACACTAACATCTTCCAGCAGAAAGCTGGTGTCTTTCTCCTCCTCAGGATCTGGGGGCAGATCCACACTGGTATCACCAGCCAAAGGGTATCAGCCATACTTCTATTCTAGCCCAAGAGATGCTGAGGTGGCTCCCCACTCCTGAGCAGCTGGTGTGATCCCAGAGAAGTGTGAGCTCTTCTCTTTCGAGATTTCCCTGTCCGGGAATGACTGTACATGGCCTGCAGGTGGGAAGCTGCTAAGAGACCAGGGGTGCTGCCATCAACATTCTCTGTTACAGAAGTTTTCCAGTTCTGGTTTTGACAGGAGGCAGCTGCACAGAAGCAGAGAAGTTTTATGTGTAGCCCCAGGCGATGGTTGAAACCACACCTAATGGTCAGCAACAGGTGATTTCCTGGCAGACGCCACAGCCCAGGTGCTCCTCATCTGCACAGGGCTGAGTCAAAGGTTTAAGCAGCACTTCGTTACATGCTTATCCATTTGTTGCTTGTGCTGCTTCATGAATTGATTCCTGTGCACCCATCAAAAGAGAGGTGTGTCAAGAGTCACGACACTTTCCCTTATGGCAAAGTGCTGGAGTTATCCTTGCCCCACGTGGCCCAGAACAGATCTGTACCTCCAGCCCATGCTCAGTTCTGCACTCTCAGCAATACCCTACTGAAGGCTGTTCCCCCCCGAGTACACCACAATAAAGGGGGGGTGACCTGCACCCCCAGCCACAGCCAGGCCCCTGGCACAGCAGCGGGGTTGTGGCCAAGCCCAGGGCGTTGCATCCCCACAACGGGGCCACCTCAGGTCACGCACTCTGCTCCCCTTACCCAGCACAGCAGGTTTCCTGCACAGCCCAGCTGTTCTTTTTCCGGTGTCCTCTAAACAATAGGGACAATAGTGCACTTGGAAGCTCCTATGGGACCCGATGTCCCCAGGCGGCTTAGCTTGCACGGCACTCTGGGAGGGCCTCCAGCTGATGTGCACCCAGCAGAGCCTGCTACGGCTGCTGCCTTCTGCTCAAACGTGCACAACCCTCAACGTGACAGTTGCCCTTCCTAGGGCAGAGCTTGGGGCCTGTCCACAGCAGGCAGGGCTATGTCTGCCCTTGCACGACACCATCCTTTTTATCACTGATTACCAGGGTTCTCCACGAGGCAGGAAAAACACAGCTCCCCCCCAGATGACCACCATCTCCCACCACAGAAAAGGAGAGATCCTGACTCTTCTGTTAAAAGCCAGTTGGATTTTAAGGCAGTGTTATGCTCTTCCACAATCTGGCTCAAGTTTTCCCTGGCTTGGAACTGGCAGCATTCAGTGCACCACTAAGCCCATTGCCTGAGGTGTCTCGGCTGCCACTGAGTTTCCCTCTTGCCCACAGGTGTTTGCTTACCCTGCCAGCACCACATCACACAAGGATTTTTCAGCAGCAACTGCTGGCAGGGGAAAAGAGAGAAAGAATGTCTACCCATCTCCTTGGCAAGGAGAGATTGTTTATCTTCTTGGAAAGGAGAATTGCCTGCACAGCTTCACAGCAAAGCTCTTGGCTGGCTTGGCACATCAGCCACAGCACAGCAACAGCCTGACTTTTAAAAGGCAGTCCCGAGCTCGAGCTCGGGATGTACATCCTGATCTAACCAGGCAGAACATGACGTTCTGCATTTGGCTGCAAAATGAATTGGAAGCATCCACAGGCCTCCACCTCTGTCCAGCACAGCTCTGAGGCCAGGAGGGAATACACATCCTGAGAGATGCAACAAGTGTCATGGGAAGAGTCACTGTCGTCTCTCCGGACGTTTCACTTTAATCCACACAGCCAAAATTCTAGAGCTGTGCTTCTTCCGCCACTAAAAATAAATGAGAAAGGCCAAGAAGTCAGTAGATTTAAAGTCAAATCTCAACAGGCCACAGCAGTAGCTAGACTCCTGCTACAGTGGGCTGACACTCATGCACCAGTGTGCATGGCCCTCACCCTGCTTATTGCCTGTGCTGGTCCCACTCCTACTCTCTCCCACAATCCCCCAAAGCGGACAGAGCTGGACAGAGGACACAGCAACAGGAGAGGCAGGGTATGGCTGAGCCTTGCAAGCACTTCAGAAGTTGTGAGTGCATTCCCTCCTCCAAGTCACCCTCTTGCTTTGGGAATTCTTGTCAAGGGAGCAAGACCACTGTGTGTTCAGCAGGGCTGGAAACAAGCCCACCCTGTACAGAGCAGATGCCTTGATTCCTGCCAGCAAGGAGGCCCTCAGCCATCATCCTACAGCCTGCACCTGAGAGGCCTTGGTGCTCTACTTGCAGCACTGCCCCAAGAGATGTTTCTCCATCCGCCTCCTTTGTGCTGAGGACCTGAGGGCTGCACCTGCTGATGGAAATGGTCATCACCATCAGGGTGACCGAGCGGTCTCCACTCTCCCCCAGGGCCTGCACCAGGGGCACTGCTGATGTGCAGATGCTCCCTGCCAGGACTCGCCCTGACTCCTTGGCCAGGAGGACAGCCCTGGCTCTTGATGGAGATCAGCTGCTCTCCACAGGCACTTCAGGCATTTCCTCAGTGCTCTGCCCATTGTTTGTTAAACAAATAGCTCTCCCCGGCTCAGGATGGGGCTTTTTGCAGAGCCCCAGAGCTCATTCACCCCGGGGAGAGAGCCTGACCATTTGTGCAAGGACTATTTTTTTTCTCCAGATTGCAGGGAGCTGACAGCCTGCATTATGTCAAAAGCAACAGCTGGAGAGGAGTTCCCATTGCTGTTATGTAGTTGCTTTTCTGCTGCAGCAGCATGTGGCAGAGCCTGACTTCTGCTCCTGAGACCCCTCCCCATACCAGGCACCTCTTCTCTGCTCAGCCACAGCAGGCAGAGACCTGGCATCTCCCAGCCCACCCAGCTGCCTTTCACTGGTACCTGGACAGTCTATCACAGCTCAGGGTTACCTGGTCCTCACTGATCTTCCTTTGGTGTCCACACACACACACACAAATAAAAACCACACAGCAAGCAGAGCAGTAACTTTTATGCTAAAAATCAAGGGGCCTACAGGTACATCACTAAAAGCAAATATAAGCCAGACACTAAACACTGTGGGTATGCCCTCGGGGCTTGAGTGTGTGCGGGAAGTCTGGAACATGAACACACGAAGCCACGCACCATGTGCTGAAGCCCACGTGGGTGTCACCCTGGTTCCCAGCCAAACCTCACAAGCACTGCTGTGCCACAGCCCCAGGCCAAACACAGGCTGGGAACACTCCCTGTGAGACGGCAAACCAAAGCAAAAACTAAACATTGTTCCCTCTCACAAGCTATTGCAAGCCTGAAAATAGACTCCAGTCTGCTAAGTTGCTGGCAAAGTATCTTCCTTTCAAAATTACTTTATATGGAGAAGGGGAAACCTTCCATAAGCAGCATCTACTCATTTTAGCTGGCATGGCCTCAGCTGCTCCCTCCCAGGTCAGTGCTCTGTGAGAGGCAGCAACAGACAGGAAGTGCTTTTGGTCTTCCCGACTCCCAGGGCTGCCTGCTGCTTTCTGTCAGACTTACAAGCCTTGTTCTTTACCACTTTCTGAAGGCATTTCTCATCTTCCTTTAACCTGGCTTTGAAGAGACTAAGAAGTTACAGAAGGAAGCTCCAAGACATCCGGACCAAAGTAGATGTCAGATGCTATGTCTGTTTGGATGCTCCATCTCTGACTTCAGCAGCCCAGTGACCCTGGAAAGGCTGAAAATGCAAATGCAGCTTTGCCCCAAGTCCTGGACACTTGAGATTGAGTCAGCATGAGGAAGGGTCCTGGGCCACCATCTATCTGCCATGGAGCAACTCC